ACATGTACATACGTAGATATGTATTCGACTACTTTTTGAAATTTTAATTGAAAGCAGGAGGAAGTAAAAGTAAATTGCACCCATACAAAATGGAAAAAGCTTAAAAAATTTTAAAAAAGGTCCATTTAATGTTTATAACTTGATTTCCATGATAGCATTAAAAATTACTTTTAGAGCATGGAATTAAGAAACTCACCCTAAATATTTGGAATACATATATTTGGATACTTAGATTTGGAATTTGTCAAAATCGCACCTCCACAACAGTACAGTCATATATTAAAAGTTTAATTTTCGTTATTTTCGAACTCAAAATTTATACATATTATGTACAGTATACGATATTTTGTATTGAACCAAAGATATTATAATTACATGATAGTTCAACACGAATAAAAAAAAAATTTTATTTTGCTTTTAAAAATATACAATGTCAATCGTATTTACATATTAATATTTCCTTAGATTGAAGGTACCTTTAACTGTAAGTGCATATATTGCTATGTGTGCAAAGTATTGCATGCCTGAAATAAGTAAAAAACAGAAAAAATTTATTAATTTATGAAAAAAAAAAAATATAGCAAAATAAAAGATATTTCTAATAGTAGTGCTAGTATTGTGAAATGTATTTATCGGCATTGTATCGGACGATTTAAATACATTTCACAGTAAACTAGTGTTCATCGTATAATGAGAAATTTATTTTTGGGATTTCCCGATAAATTTTATGGGGTAATTTTTAATATACGATAGCACACGTTAGTGATGTTACAAGAAGTTTTTCAGTTTTTAAGTTAAAAAAATGAAAGTATTTCATTATTATTAACAAAATTGAGGACTATGAGTTAAGATAAGTTTAATTTTGTATTTTTAGGAACAGAATAGTCAGTAACAAATCTCAACTAAATATGATTACTGAAATAATGGAGGAGAATTTAGATATAGCAAGAAATGTTTGCTCAAAAACTTGTGCCGATAAATTTTGGATCAAAATTTCCAATGAATTAAATAAGTTTATATAGGTATCTATTTACTATAACTGGATATATCACCCTCCTTATAGGTATGGAACGATTTAAAATATAAAGTCAGAAAAAAAGTAAGCAAATAGAGGACCGAAGCAGCAGCAACTGGGGGTTGCCCTAAGAAGGACTTGAAATTGACAGGCACTGAAGAAGCTATTATGAAAATTATGAGATTAGATATACCCCAAAATTCAACTGGTCTGAGTTTTGCTTTAATGGGCAAGTTTATTTAAAAAAAAATTCATCAATCGATTTAATTTTATCAGTCGATTCAAATTTATAAATTTGTTTTATTTTTTTTTTTTGTAGAGGAAAACGAAAAAGAAAATTATGATACCAACATTACAACACAATTGGAGTATTTACATTATGATACCAAAATAAATGCAAGCCAAAATCAAAGAGAAAAATTAAATGCAACTTAAAATCAAACATAAGAATTAAGTAGCGAAATAGATATAACAGGCTCACAGGAAAAAGAGTATTATGAATTTTGCTAATACAACATCATAGTTGTGAAATTAATAAGTAATGTGCTTATTACACTAATAATTTCCATTAAGTTAAAAAGAACAAAAAGAGTTTTTTGGTAGTGTTCAAAACAACATAAAACTTATGAGACGCTTAATACAGAAAATAGAAAACTTCTTTCATTAAAAAAGAAATTCTTTCCTTAAAAAAGGAAGAAATAAAGTTGAAAAAGCAAGAGCTTGAGTTTTTGAAGAAACAAAAAGATATGAAGATAGAAAGTAAAAACTTCATCTCAAAATTAATATTTTAGAATTGAAGAAGGGAAAGAGCACATTACTGTTAAATACTGATGTAACGTAATTTAAGTAAAATTTTTTTATAAGTATTTTGTGTTTTAGTCTTGCTTTTTTAAAATAATTTGAAATGAGTTATAAGTTTTGTTTAAAATGAATGTTGTTTTTGTTTTTTTATCTAACTAATAATGTTAAATTTAATGAAAAATTTTTCGCTCTTCTTTCTTCATCTTCAGTATAATGAAAGTTTATTACTTCCTTAATATTTCTCTATGATATTCAAAATTTCTGCCACAATAACCCGAAAAGGTTAGCTGAGCTAATCCTAGGTTGATGTTATTGCTAACCCCTATCTGATAACTTTTACGAACCTTGGGCGAAAAATTTAAAAGCGGCTGCTAATTTTATTGTTTGACACAGCACTTTTTGTGTTTGTTCCTTGTTCATTTAACTATCAATTTTACTAATTAAATATCTAAATAAATCTTTTGATATTCTAAAATTTGTAATGCATCTAAAAAAACTATTTTGAACTATTTGTTATGTATGTATGTACGTATACCTACAGCCCAATATTCATCAATGGATTTTAAGACTCTCTAATCTGTCTTCGTGTGATCCATACTTCTCGATGTAATTCTTCTTTTTCGTCTTCAAAAACATAATTCGGCTGATACCATTGTACATTATTTTTATTTTATTTAAAACAAAACTTATATGTGGTCTCATACAGCCATTGCTTTTTCTTATGACTGTATGAGGTCATACAGAATCTGTCGAACAAAATAGTATACACATCAATAAATTTTATCGGTTTTATCGGTTATCGGTTCATAATACTTCGATAAAACGATAATGATACCGATCATATATCGGATTTTTTCATAATAAGGACCAATGTTTGAATACTTTGAAAAAAGTAACCAGCAGTAAAAATAAAGAGTAAATGCAATAATTTATTAAGAAAACATATAGAATATAAAATATGTAATCATATATTACAATTATAAACAACTTGCATTCAATGGTATTCAATGAAAAATCGTACAATTTTTAGATTTTTATTTATAACTCAAGAAATATAGTAAAGCAAACTTTGTATTCCCATTTTAAAGCTAATAAAATTCTCTTCTAATCAATCAATTTTCGTTTAATCATCATTTACTCATAACTCCTACCTTGTTGTAACTAACCTATCGGTTGTTTTACAACAAAAAAAGCCCAGTATTCTGACGTTCATAATGTGGGAAAAATTTCAGAAATGACATGTTTATCAGGCGAAAGTTTCCCGCAGAAATGCATTTCCCCATGCTACGGAAGCGTAAATAAACTATTTTTAGAAACATGTCGGTCTGTCTGTCTGCAGGTCAGTATTTCATATACAAGTAAAGAATTTACTTTGAGGGTGAGACAGTTTGGTCAATTTTTAGTATATGTCAAGTCTCGGGAACTATATATCTTTACTTTGGGGCGATTTTACATTTTTGTTCAAATAAAGAGAAATAATCAAATAATGAAATTTAATATTTGAATTCAGGGTGTCAAAACAATGAGTATATAAATTTTTTGGGAATATCAGGTCTCAGAAACTGAACTTTTACTAGGGAGCCGATTTTACATTTTTTATCATATCTACGAAACTAATTGACGGAATTTTATGCAATTTAATATTTGGGTTTTATTTGGTAACTGAAGCAATTAATGAACCTTTTAAAAAATTTGGATAGCACAAAGCGAAAAAACTACTAAAAGTCTAATTTACATTTTTCTAGGTATTTTAACTAAAAGCTTACTACCGTCCTTAAAATTTGAAAGAAGTTTTTAGAAAACATTTTCATAATCCTGTGCAACACTTTTGTTACACTAGACAACACATCTTACGGTCGGTTATGTGCTGATCACATCAGATTTTTTTTTTTTATATTTAAATAATCGCCTTCTTTTCAAATTATCTATTCAGAATATTAATTAGAATTTATTTTATATTTTCAAAAATTTTATTTCAAATACACACAAAAAAGAATTCGCTTTTTAATGAGTAGTGTGAAAATAAAGTAGATTCAAAAAATAAAAATTTTAGTGAAGAAACACGACTAATGTTGTACCTGCCAAGGGCTGTCGTTTGATTTTTTGGGTGGAGAGTAGAAATATTAAAAGGAGCCATTTTAAAAAAGAGTGGAGGCAGTTCCTATATTTCATAAAAAAACAATTTATTACCGTACGAATACAAAAAAAAAACCGGAAAAACAAAACAAAAAATTTAAATAAAAATTATAAATAAGTTAATAAATAAATTCGAATTAAAAAGTATCACAATAAAAACTTAAATTAATGGTTTTGACGTGAAACCCCCTATATGTTTCTACACTTTTTAAAGTTTAGGCTCTAGTTATAATTATCAGAAAATGCCTTAAAATATCAAAAGAAACTCACAAAAATGTTTATGACTTTTTTCTAATTATATGTTTACTGTCTTATTGATTTCCTTAGAAGTAGATGAAAATGGTGTTAAAATAGCGAATTTCAAATAAAAAAAGGTGTACTTCAAATTTTCTTATTGTAAGTTTAAATCGATCGACTCAATCGACTTCAATTAAAATGTCAAAATTGTAATTAAAATAAAATGTCAAAATTGTCTATTGAAAAAATTCTATACAAACATATTTCATCTGCTGACGTCGACGAATTTCCCTAAGTTTGGTTATTTGAAATTTTATCTGACTAATTGATTAACTACAAAAGATGGATGGCAGTTTTTGAATTAGCAAAAAAAGGTATATATACATAATATGGTTAGTCAAGGTTTTGTCAATAAATTTTTAAATAGCGCAAGAAAATTTTTTTTGGTATATCGAATTTATATTTTTTCACTGCAAAATTTTTTTAAGAATAATTATCAATATTGTTTTTGGGTCAGACTGAGGAAAAAAAATCGGAACCAAAATGCAAATGGAGTAGCCGAGGACACAAGTTTTCAAATCGGAGTCAAATGGATCCGATCAGAGCGGAACGACCGTCCTGAACCTGCTATTTAATTTGATTAAGTTAAAATGTGTGCATATTTGAATCAAATTTGAATTTTATATGTATTATTGTATTGTGAATAGTTGTGTAGCGCGCTACAAAACATTTCATTGTGTTGTGTTGTAGTAAAAAGTAAACACGGTTAGTTAAAGAGTAAAAAATTATTTAAAATTAGTTGGTACGGTACCTTCATTACGTTCGGTTGTTTAATAGTTTTGTTGTGGTTTTGTGAAATTATAAATAAATTTTTAAAATTGTAAAATATAATAAAAAATAAAACTATTAACAAATTTATTTTAAAACTTAAATCAATACATTTTTAAATTTGAATTTTTTATTTGTTAGTTTTTCTTCTGTTTTTTTCAATAAAAATCAGAAATTTAAAGTTCTTTCCAAAAAAAAAAAAAAGCAAAAAAATTTGATTTGTCTTTTAACATACAAATAAAAAAAATGGCAGCAAGAGGTAAAAAATCTTCAAGTTTGGCACGTGATTCTTGGAATGAAAGTGGCGGGACTACAACAGAAGGACGTCGTCCAAAAAGTCCACTAAGTCCAACACGACATTCACGTTTAGCTGAAAAAGCTGAATTGCAAAGTTTAAATGATCGTTTAGCTTGCTATATTGATCGTGTTAGAAATTTAGAAACTGAGAATGCACGTCTTATTATTGAAATTCAATCAATTAAAGAAAATGTTACACGTGAAACATCAAATGTAAAGTCAATGTACGAGCATGAATTATCAGATGCACGAAAATTATTAGATGAAACAGCTAAAGAGAAAGCTAGATTGGAGATTGATACAAAAAGATTATGGGAAGAAAATGATGAATTAAAAGCAAGGTAAGATTTTCATTTAAAATTCTAAAAATTTTTTGGCTACTCTACATACGTACATACATACTTGCATGTAAAGATAAAATTGAATGGATGTTGCTTGTTTGTGTACACATTTCATATTTATACATACATATGTAAGTATATAATAGTACATATTTGTAAAATATTGATAAATCTATGTAATAAATTAGAAATGGATTAAAAACTATTTGTGATCCAAAATTTAAGTGAAGTATGTACATATTTATATTTAAGTATGCATATGTATGTAAAAAGTATTATATATGTAAGTACATATATATAAATATAAGTTTTTATGTTTATATATGAGGCATAATAAATTTCCCTAAACTACCGTGACCGACCGTCTATTTTGCTATTTTACTCGCCAAGTAAGGTGAAACTGAGTAACTGTCATATATTTATATAATGTAATTTTCGAGTAAGAAGCATTTCATATCCAGTTTTTTTATCTAAGATTTAGGTATACAAAATTTATTCACTTTGTTTTTGAAGGTTAGACGTTCAGCAGATAATTTGAGGAACATTCAAAAATTCTATTGAAAAATTGAATAATCTTATTGGAAAAATTAAATATCCATTAGAAAGGCGGAGAATTCTGATTTGAAAGTGAATAAAAAGTGAGAAGAAAAAGCGAGATACACGATTAGGTTTTTAATTGTCATATTAAATTATTAGTTAATTAGTTATATTATGGTGCAACATAATGTAAATAAGGTAAAAAAAAATTAGGAATTAATATATTCCCATTTATTTATGATTTCATAACAATACATAGTTCTGTATTCTATCAAAACGTGTCTGACATATGGTAATTTAGAGTAGATTTAGAGTATAGGGTATATAAAATATAATATACATTGAGTTAAGTATTGGTATTGTAGAATTATGATTTGAAATTGGACATATGCATAAATATGTAAACATATGTTTATGTGCATATTTGATGTTGTTTGAATCCGAATTTTATATCGAAATATTCAAGATTTTAATAATAAGGAATTAGAAATGAAGAGATAAGTGATTCCACATTTAATATATCCAATATTAATCATTTATGCTCATTTAATAATTTCCTAAGTAACTTTAATGTGTTTATTACACATTTTTTGTGTTCGTCACACATTCATGTGTATGAACGGAAGGTATCCATTCTATATGGACTTTGCTTCTGCTTTGCCCGAAATCAAATCACATTTGGGTACTTTTATACATACGAAATTATAATAATTAAGTTGTACATTTGTACTAAAAATGAAAATTTTATTTTATGTTAATTAAAAGTTCATATTACCAAAATATACATGTGCGACGTGCCTGTGCGTAATATATATAATATATGTACATGTTTATATATATATAGTGTATTGTATAATATGTTTGCGGAACACGTTATAGAAGTTTGACCTCGATTTCACAGAAAAATGTATTTTTAATTTTTTGTATACAAAAATTATGTAGGTATAAAATTTTTTTTTGTTATAGATTTTTCTTGTTTTGTATAAAATCTAAATATCACAAGAAATATTTATCATAAGAAGTATTTAGGTATTAAAGAAATATTCATATAACATGTATGTTAGCCTGCGTATTTTATGACATCATTATATATTATTACCATATGTATTTATTGTAGGTATTACAATTCTGTGTATCCATTTGCATACAATATTAATAGTATACGTGTAAAAAAACGCATTTATTAACACGTTCGCGGACGCGAATGCTATAGCATTCATTTTCATAGTGATGCATAATGACGTGAATGCTATAGCATTCAAATTTTAAAGCCAATTTTTATTAATTTAATGTTATACAAGCTTATGGTTTTGTAATTTATACATTTCAAAATAATGACCAACTGATTCATTAGGTATTTTCATATTATTTTATTTTTTGTCCATATATATACATGGAGAAAAAAACAATTGTGTAATTTAAAAAATAATTGCCTGTATATTTTTGCAGCTACTTTAAATTTTTAGCGTCCGCGAACGTGTTAATTTTAATAAAAACGGGGAAAAATATTTTAAATCGGCATTAAGACGACCTAATTCTAATGAGTATCATAAAAAAAGGTTTAAGTGATCCAGAACATATAAATATAATCGAGAAAACAATTCTAAATTTAGTTTGCTTATGCTCGCAATTGTGTCTATAATACAACACATTTTTAAATTTGACTTAACTAAGAAATAGAATGACTGAATTCATTTTAAACATAAATTTTTGGAATCTGAATTTTAAATAGCAATTCGAAGTGCAACATCCGATAATACCTGAAAAGTTTGTTACTTAAGTTTCGGTTGACAAACAAAATTGAAATATAAAGAAAAATCGTTGATTAATTCAATTAGATATGGTCAAAAATGTCCCCCTTCCTGCCCTGTGAGAACAATAAAGCAAAATTTATTCTCTTTTGATCTTTCTTCATATAGAAATTAATTATCTTCTCTTCCCAATAATACTATTATATTTCAACTATACGTGTGTACTTTATATATTATTAAAAATATATTTTTGAATATTAATTAATAAGAAAAAAATAATGTTTCTACTTAAATAGTTCTAAATGAATTGTTGCTTGGATACAAATCCTCAAATGCAAAAATTTCAAGCAAGATTTGTTGCGACAAATCACAAATTACTCAAAAAAATCTTCTTTCTATATTATTTACTCCACTTCCTCTCACATTTTATTTTCCCGCCGGCCTAATTTTAGAGAATTTTGACCTTCGGTATACGTGTTTGTTTTTTGCTATAAAATTAAATTTAAAAGCACTTTTATTAATTACGTCAATCTGTTTTTTTGGATTTAGAATAAAGAAATATTTATAAAACATCGGTATAAACTGATTGAATTATACCCTGCACCTTTTGTTGTTGTACAGTAATTACTCAAACCTGTGAAACCATTCTGTAGAAACTTCACGAATATGTTTGACCTATAATTGGACACACAACTGCCAAGTTTCATGAATCAGTTTTTATTATTTAAAAAATTAGCTTCTGGAGTTATATGGCAGGTACCCGAACCTGTCAAGTAATTCCACAAAAACTTCAGAAATATATCTGACCTATAATTGGACACATGACTGCCAAGTTTCATGAATCTGACTTTATAATTTTGCCGAATATAAAAAATTTGCTTTTGGAGTTGTATGGCAGCCGCCCGAACCGGTGCAGCTATCCCTTTAAAATTTTTAGAGCATATGTAGAATATAATTGGACACATGTATACAAAATTTTATATAGATATCTTCATTAGTTTTTGAAATATTTAAAATAAACTCTTTGAGTTGTATGGCAGCTACCCGAACCCGTTGTCCGAATTAGTCCAATTACAATAGGGTTCGTCCTTGGCACAAAAGAAACAAATTGTGAAATTTGGTGTCGATTGCATTATTCGTTTTTGAGTTATTGTGCGATCGGACGGACATGTCTAAATTAACGCAGAATTTTAAGCTGAGCAAGAATATATATATATATATGTCCATACCGCAGATGACTCCTTCAAGTAGTGCAGGGTATAAAAATTGGAATTGAAAATAAGAAGTTTTCAAAATTTAGTTTCTGTTTTGTTATTTTTCCTCCCTCTTTATCTGATACGTCAATTATTTGAATTTGGAAAACATTGAAACCCGCAAATTTTACATAATACAATAAATTATGAACGCGAAATAGGAAAAATGATTGTTTAGATTACTGAAAATAAAAAAAATAAAAAATTATAACTTAAGACATTAATTATAATTTAGTACTCTTTTATATAGTGTAAGTAATATGAAGTTTATTAAAGCCATATGAAAAAAAAATCTGATATGGTCAGCACATAACCGACCGCAATGTATATTGTCTAGATTAGTAAAAGTATTCCAGAAGATTATGAAAATGCGTTTTAAATACTTCTTTACAATTTTAAGGGCACTTAAAAGCTTTTAATTCACGTACCTAGAAAAAAGTGAATTTCATTTTCTACCGTCCGAATTATATGAAAAGTTCGTCAGTAACTTCTGGTAATAACCAGAATTCAAAATATGAAATTTCAAGAAATTCTATCAATTCGTTCCGTAGATATGTTAAAATAAATGTAAAATCGCCCCCAGATCATTTTCCAAAAAAATTAAAGATTCATTGTTTTACCACCTCGAATTTAAATATTAAATTTCAATGAAATCGCTTGATTATTTCTCTTTATTTACGCAAAAATGTATATATGACCCTTACTAAACGGCCATTGCTGATACCTGATTTCTTACAACGGTCAAATGAAGCTTATATATCCCAAGAGTTGATCAATCCGTGGCATAGTCGAAATAAACTTACATATAAAATTTCATGAAAATCGGTTCAGTCGAACTTGAGATACACGCGTCGAAATCGACGAGATCGACAGGTTGCTAAAAATAGTTTAATTACACTTCCCTACCATGGAGAAGTGCTTTCCCACAGAAAATTCAATATGCAAAATTTGTTGCCATCACATGACCTACCTCACTGTATACAATGCGCTCGGTAAAAAGATGCTATTATATTCGTTCATAATTAAATATTATTTGATCGATTTAAATTGAACTTAAATTGCAGAAATACTGTTCTTTTTAGAAAGAACTTCGCTTTTACGATTTCATTTCAAAATTCAGCCCATTAACACTAAACTTATCCCGCCAAAATATTTCAATGTTTTCTTTTTGTTTTTTCTTTACTTTTGTTTTGCTTCACTTTTTACTTTTCACATTGAAAATTGAAAAAATGACGTAATTATTGACTTTTTTCAGTTTGGTTTTTTTGTATTTTCTTGATTTTGGTTGCGTTGCGTGTTACCAAACCACTTATTTTAATGTTACATGTTTTTATGTTATATTTGCTATTTTTTTTGTTTTCATGTGTAATTTTAATAAATCACACACATTTCTTCAATGTTGTGTGTAATCAAAATTAGATCATCAAAGTAAAGCTTTTTATAATATAAAAAGTAATCA